TTGATTGGTTAATGATCACGGGAAATCACGGGTAGATCTACAAAAATTAACCAATCATACGAATGTCTGCCCATGAACTATAACCCGTGCTCTAATTAAATAGTAATAATGCTTCATATGTTAAAATAAATTACTTCTCTTTTGTATATGCCTATTGAAATATAAATAAATAAATCAGTTAACTGATAGAGAATGTTAAATTTTAAATTATAAAAATAAGTCGTTTATTGCTTACTCACAGCAACTGCATCTATTCAATGCGACCCTTGTTAAGTCTATAATATTGCTACAGGTTTCGCATACCAATTTCGTACACCCCTATCAATAACGTACCCACCCCAAGTAATAAATATCAATTAGTAAATGTTTAGAAGTAGGTCCGTTCTTGATAGGGTTGTACGAAATTGGTATGTAAAATCCACATACCGTATCCTATCGTGAATAAGCACCACACCCTCTACCCCATTTTTTAAATGTCAGATTAGCGGAAATCGCTAAAAAAAGTGGGGTAGAGGGTGTGTGCTTATTTACGATAGGATACGGTAATACTTTTTTATTAATAACACTAACGTAAACATGAAAAAAGGACCACAAAAAAGGCCCCAAATTTTTGTAATTTTATAATTTCAGCATAAGCTGCCACAATTATTAATAAAAAAAACTTGGTTTATACAGTATAAAAAAAATTACTATTGTTCTATTTCACTGAATATAATCCTGCATTCTGCCATCATTCCTTTATGTTAAACAGTATATCTCTGGTTTAATCCGATCTACGCCTTTCTATCTCATTTATGATACTTTTCCAGCTTAATAAAACAAATGATACTAATATACACAAACCACCAACGATTGTACTTGTACTTAACGGGGATTTAATTACCAGCGCATCTACAAATGCTACTATAGGAATGGTCAACATTAACCCAACAGCGGCAAAGACAGGTGATGTTAAAGCAATTACTAACATAAAACATGCATTGAAAACAACCCCGAACAAAGCCATGAATAGAATGTAACCAAAAGTCTTCATATCTGGAAGACAAAACTCTTCTATTCCCATATAGTGTAAGATGGGAATAGGCACCCATAGAAAAATTAAGGTGAATATACCAATCAAACCCGTGATAGTGTTCGAAAATGAAATCGAAGGGATTGGTGGACTTCCATACTTCTTATATAGCACCTCATATAACCCATAAGTGACTGCTCCAAACAAAGCGATTAAATCTCCTGTAAAAATGATGCCATTGTCACCCACCTCAGAGTCCCCCCCGGCATCATATCCCGGTGTTTTATCCTTTTGACTCATTGTCATGATTATAACACCTACGATGCTTAAAAATACGGAGCCAACTTTTTCTATTTTTATTGATTCACCCAGTAAAATTACTGAGAAAACATATGCCCAAAAACAGCTAGTGTTGTATATTGCCGTTAGATTGGCCATGGTAGTATAGTTTATAGCTACATACCAAGTATATGTTGCAGCACAAAGGGTAACTGCAAAGAAAGAGGTGATTTTGAAAAGGTACGCGAAGAAATACTTGTGAGGTACAGATAAAAATACTTGGGCAACACCGTCTTCTTCGTTTTCTGTATATATGTAATTTATTTGACGTATTGGTCTGGCTTTACTAACTAGTTCACTGCCAATTCCAATAAATTTTGCCATGTATTCCTGAAAATTCGGTCGAAACGCAAATTGAAGTGGTAATATTATTACCCAGCAGCTGTGTACAATCCACCTGATTTGAAAATATTTGATTTAAAATATTAATTAGAGCAAATAAGGCCACACAAATTTAATATATTGGTTTTCATAACATGAAACTTTTAAACAGACCCGGCCAGCCGGCTTTTTTTTTTAAATT